TATACTATATATATTTTTACTCTAAATCATGTGTTTGGATTACAATATTATTTCAAAGTTGTACAAATTTGAATTTTTTGAAACACAATTGGGTTTTACCAAAAACATTTTAAAATAATCATTGTACTACTTACTCTACCATTCTGTAAGAAGAAATAATAGTTTTATAATTTGGCATGAATACATAGGTAGAAGTCCAAGGGGATGCAGATGATTTGGCCTCTTTTTTTTTCACGCTTAATCCAAATATCCTGAAATTGCTTACATTGTATAGACCCATTGTTTTTCTCTCATTGCTGTCATCTAAATTTGCTGGCCAGTTATTTGATTTTCCTACATAAGGACACGAGGGAAGATGAAAATAGAGGACTCTTAGTATTTTGAATAGGAACACCAAGGAATTGGGTAGGAAAAGTAAGAAGAGGAAGAATTGTGGTAAATAAGCCCTTTGAAATTTTATTTAACATTTATCACATATAAATATTTACTACAGGTTGAAGATGCCTTATCTGAAATGCTTGGAATCAGGAGGAGTGTTTTTTTGAATTTTTTATTTCAAATTTTGGATTTTTTCAGATTTTGGAATATTTGCATGCACATAATGAAATGTCTTGGGGATGGGATCAAGTCTAAACATGAAATTCATTTATGTTTCATATACACATAGCATGAAGATGATTTTATACTTTTAATAATTTTGTGCATGAAACAAAGTTTTGAATTACCATATGAAGCTGGGTGTGGAATTTTCCATTGTGGAGTCATTCTGGTGCTCCAGAATTTTTGGATTTTGTAGCATTTCAGATTTGGGATTTTTGGATCAGGACTGCTCAAACTGTAGTATCATTATTTATCTTTAGTCATGGTAGTTTTATTGTTGAGTCTACAATTTCTTAGATTTTTTAAAAGACAAAAACAGATATGTGTCACTTCAATATTGTACCAGTCCAGCTATTAAAAAATCAATTAGCAATATAAGAAAATCAAACAAATTAATATAAAAATGGAATATTATTAATGATCAAAGAATGATGTTAAATATTATTATACTTCTTAAAACTTTTTTCAAAAAGTTAAAAAGTTAAAAAGGATGACTTCTAGATATTCATGTAATTTTTATACTATTGCTTGGGTGCTGCAAGAGTTAACTCAGAATTGATATTAGCATGTTTCAGTCCTGACATTTTATCATAGTATTTTATATTTCTGTCCATCCGCATATTCCTAAATAACAGCCTATACAATTGTCCTACAATTTAGGACTTTTTAAAAAACGAGAACTGCAGGAAGTTTAAAAGTTGCAGTCTGCCTTAGAAGAAATCTTGGCCAAAGAGAAGGAGAGATTCCTTTCTCCTGGCTAGCTTCACATTAATTACTAGGTTCTTTTTACAAGGTATACTCATGCATCATATAACAATAGCTTTGGCCACTGACAGACCACATATACAACTGTAGTCCAATAAGATTATAATGGAGCTGAAATATTCCTATTGTCCAGCGATGCGGTAGCCATCATAAGACCATAGCGCAATGCATTACTCATGTGCTTGTGGTTGTGCTGGTGTAAACCAACCTACTGCACTGCCAGTTGTATAAAAGTATAGCACGTGCAATTCTGTACATTACATAATACTTGATAATGATAATAAATGATTATGTTACTAGTTTATATATTTACTATGCTATGTTTTTTATTGTTATTTTAGAGTATGCATAAAAAATAAAAGTTTGCCGTAAAACAGCCTCAGGCGGGTCTTTGAGGAGGTATTCTAGAAGAAGGCATTGTTATCAGTCATGGGAGATGACAGCTGAATACATGTTATTGCCCCTGAAGACCTTCCAGTGGGACAAGATGTGGAGGCGGAAGACAGTGAAATTGTTGATCCTGACCCTGTATAGGCCTAGGCTAATGTGTG